CTCTCCGTGGCCGCCATCACCACCGAAGGTCGTTTCTCTTCGAGTTGAGGTTGCTAGAAATGGTCGTTTCTCCATTTGAAAATATTTAAGATTTCAAAAAATTATCATGAAATAAGAAAAAACGAAAAAACAAAGATAAAATATAATAAAAAGATAGGAAAAAGGAAAAAAAGGAAAAACAAAGAAATAAAATCAGGTAAAAATCAAATAACGGTTGTAAACTAGAAGAAAAGAAATGGAAAAAACCCATATGGAAGGTTCCCGAAATCACGCGGGTCGTTTTGCAGGAACACAGTAGCGAACACTTTGGTGCGCTGGCCCACATTTTTTCGTTTGGTAAAGAACGAACTTAATGTTGCCGCTATAAGTGGTAGGTTACTTTTTTTGCGAATGTGCTATAAGTGCTAGGTATTGCTGCTATAAGCGATACATATCATTTGCGGTTTATTCTCACTCATAGGCTCGTATCAAATTGCGCGGCCCTTTATAAAATGGCAACATTCTTTTCATTCTGCGAAGAAAGTATTGTTTTCTATTTTCTTGTATAGATGTTAAAATGATGTTAATTTCACTGACTTATTTATGTAATCTGTCTATGTATAAGGTGCCTAATGAATTAATAAGTGCAGTATCTATTCATGTAATTTATAAACTGTTCATTTTCTTAAATATTTATGAACGTTTTAAAAAGTGTTCAAATATTTTAGGAAACGTTCATGTGCTTTTCTGTTCATTTTTCAATATTTTCTAATGTAATTTAAATTTTTCACATTAAAAATGCTCACATTATTTTGTGTTCATGTGCTTTTGTGTTCATGTGCTCTCTCTCTCTCTCTCTCTCTCTCTCTGTGGCCGCCATCACCACCGAAGGTCGTTTCTCTTCGAGTTGAGGTTGCTAGAAATGGTCGTTTCTCCATTTGAAAATATTTAAGATTTCAAAAAATTATCATGAAATAAGAAAAAACGAAAAAACAAAGATAAAATATAATAAAAAGATAGGAAAAAGGGAAAAAAGGAAAAAAAAGAAATACAATCAGGTAAAAATCAAATAACGGTTGTAAACTAGAAGAAAAGAAATGGAAAAAACCCATATGGAAGGTTCCCAAAATCACGCGGGTCGTTTTGCAGGAACACAGTAGCGAACACTTTGGTGCGCTAGCCCACATTTTTTCGTTTGGTAAAGAACGAACTTAATGTTGCCGCTATAAGTGGTAGGTTATTTTTTTTTGCGAATGTGCTATGAGTGGTAGGTATTGCTGCTATAAGCGATACATATCATTTGCGGTTTATTCTCACTAATAGGCTCGTATCAAATTGCGCGGCCCTTTATAAAATGGCAACATTCTTTTCATTCTTCGAAGAAAGTATTGTTTTCTATTTTCTTGTATAGATGTCAAAATGATGTTAATTTCACTGACTTATTTATGTAATCTGTCTATGTATAAGGTGCCTAATGAATTAATAAGTGCAGTATCTATTCATGTAATTTATAATCTGTTCATTTTCTTAAATATTTATGAACGTTTTAAAAAGTGTTCAAATATTTTAGGAAACGTTCATGTGCTTTTGTGTTCATTTTTCAATATTTTCTAATGTAATTTAAAATTTTCACATTAAAAATGCTCACATTATTTTAAAAGTGTTTCTATACTATTTTTATTTAAAACTTATGTCATTTCAAAAAAAAACAATGCATGTACATTTAAGAAAATGCATGTAATTGTAAAAACAATTATGTTCATTTTATTTTTGGAAATTTCACGTACTTAAAAATATTCATGCAATTTATAAAGTGCTCAAACATTTTTTAGAAAGTGTTTGTTATTTAAAAAAATATCGTCACACAATTGTAAAAATACATGTTCATACTCTAAAGAAAAATAAGAAAAGGAAAGAAGAATAAATAAATTAGAAAATGCTAGTTGATAAAGCTTTAATATTATTTTTAAACAAGTATTTTTTTAAACAGGGGCAAAGAATTTACCACATCTTTTTGTTTGTGAAAATGATTAGATCTATTATCAAATTTTGTCGAAAGTACAAACCATGTCAAACATAATAGAAATTATCGAGATTTCGAGACCGCCGTAAGACCACTATCACCGTCAGAATGGGCCGACTTGACATTGTCAATGACAACCAGGAAGTCTTCACGCACGTCAAGGGACAGGGGAGGAAAAGCTAATGACGTTGCAACGGATAATATCTCAGTCCGGAAATAGCACACAGTCTTTTGTCACTTGCAGCGTTTCGAGCAAACTTCGAGTAGCTTGCCCGGCCGTGTGTGTCAACACGATCTATTCTCATCATCTGACGACCGACGGAAGAGCGGACACGGTACTTCGCCAGGAAGCAAAACCCACATCGACGGCACCTTCCTCCCCCTCCACAAATAGCCGGACGGGGACGACTCCTCTCCAGCGAAGCAAACCCCACCTCGATTCCTATTCTTCCTCTTCCTCTTCCCCCACCACTTTCCCCAATCTCCCCCAGATTCCACCGCCAGGCGCGACCTCCCCCCACCCCTTGCCATGCGCAACTCCGG